CCCATGCAGCAGGTTCAGGTACCCCAGGTGAGCAGTAGTATGTTCTCATCCACTGATTTATTCAAGAAAATGTAGAAATGTTATGGCAAAAAATTAAAAGTGGTAGTGGAATTCATGCTTGTGAAGTATCGTTGCCAACATAATGAGAATGAACATAAGTAAATGATAGGCATGTGATTTATGTTCTTTATTTTTCTGATCTTAAAGCAGAACAAAGTTGGTTTCGCCGCACAGCCATACGGCCAGTGGGGACAGTGGTACGGCAACGCACAACAAATTAGTCAGTATGTCCCTAACGGCTGGCAGGTACCTACTTACGGCGTGTACGGACAGGCTTGGAACCAACAGGGCTTCAAGTAAGTCTACAGATCTTCATACCTCCATTTGCAATGAAGAAGATTGCATTTTAGCAATTTCTTGATTCTGTAATCCTATTATAGTATTTTTCACAAACAAATTGTAAAGCGTGAAAAAAAGAGATTGACTTGCTTTTTAAGTATAAGATATAAACTAAGTACATTATAAGCAGTGTGCTTGGTTACATGGTAATTGTCTTTGCTCTGGACATCATATTTTCACAAATATAGACCAGGTAATGCTAATTTTACATACAGTACACAGTGAATATGACCGTGACCATCTGGAAATAGCGCAGCATAGTTTGAAATCAAGGATTTTAATTTTGTCGTGTCCATTGATGACTGGACAAATAGAATGAGAAAGTATTATTGCTGTTGCCTTTCAAGTACTAATAATACCATTTCATATACCTTTTGTTTACTTGCTTCTAACATTTGTCAAATGATTTTAACTGTTAAACAAGATGATAAAATAATTAAATCAAGGAACAGGAGCTTTTGCTTAAGTGCTGGCGCTGTCAAAGTAAGTCTGTCAATATAGAACTCCCGCTTCTGACACTTGGCGGCCCAATACTGATTAAAAAAAAAAGACGTATTGGTCGACCACTAAATGTGTATATATATTTTTTTCATAGTTCAGCTCAAATATTATGTTTTAATTACTAGAAATTGCTCTGTGTGCTGTATCTACAATTGCTGTTTACTGCATGGTGTTTAGGGCAGGGCCTGAATTTCGTTTTGGAAAATGGGGGGGAAATCCCCCCCTTAGATGATTCTCATGGGGGGGATTTTTTTTGTTTGAGGGGGAGAGAGGGGGGGGGGGGCATTTTTTCCAAACAAAATTATTACATTTATCTTGCCTAAATGTTTGCGCTCATTGCAATTTTACAATGGGGTAATATTGTTGTTAAGAATTTACACATCACAAGGAAGCTTGATTTAAATTGTTTAATTAAATTGAAAAAAGTAGCACAAATAAATACAATAGAATAAAGATACAAATAAAGACAATTAAAGAGAAACGTTTTTGAATAGGTCTAACACTAGTATTCATATACAGAAACTGAATAAAGTAATCAAATGGAAAATAACACTGGGTAGTATTTTAGTCCTGAATAAATTAAATACATAGGCTATTTATCCTGATTCCTTTAACTTTAAAGCTATCTTTTGTTGTTTTGACAACAAAATTAATGACACACATATGGCTGCCGTCACTTTAAGAGCTAGTGCACGGATCCTGTGTTCATTATACTGGCATGCGTTTTATGCTTAGGCCTATGTTTTATGCACTACTGGCCCGATTGTGCAAGTGAATATTCCGTCATGTCCCGACCTTACAGTCTATGGTCCCGACTCCAAAACGCGAGTGTGTGTGTATTATCGCCGCAGCGCTTGATGCCTGCCTTGCACAACACAGAGAGAAGCATAGGGGAGAGAAGAGATAGAAGACGCGCGGCACCGCTGAACACTCACGCTGTTTGTGAAATTGCGTCTGGAAGATGGTTGTTAAAAGAATGATTTGATTTTATTATCTGTGTGGACTACGATTGCGGGAATTTCCCGCATTATAAATGGGAGACCTGCGGGAATGATTAGAATTATGCGCAATACCCGCAATCCCGCGCCGAAATTCGAGCCCTGGTTTAGGGGCATGTGAATCTGAAATCAGTGTGCAAAAAGTTGTCAATATTAAATTAAGGGGTTTACTCCACCAAATAAATTAGTGTAAAATGTGTGAAGAGACTGAAGTTTCCACTCAAGTTGCTACCACTCAACCCCCCCCCCCCCCCCCCAACTCCTTACAGTATGTAGATTTAAGGTTTATAACAGCTGCTTTTGATTGCTTAAAAGGTTAGTTCGCCCCAAAATCATCATCTTTCAACCAATCGCAATAGGAGTTAAATAAAAAAATATCCTCTTCCAAGCTTTATAATGGGAGTGAATGGTACCTCCGATTTTGAGGCCGCTGTTACCGGAAGCAAGTGATTTATAGTTTATAAAGTTATAAATATGGATATTTTTCTTACAAAAATACATCACTTCGCTTCAGAAGGCCTTTATTAAAATGTAAATTTAGGGCACCATTTTTTTTTTTTTTTTTGAGCTGTTCACAATCATGTTCGTTACAGAAGTCTTAAGATTACGATTCACTCCAATTATAGTCAAAAAGGTTGAACCAATTGTAGTCTAAAGCAGGGCTTTTTAACTCCCAAATATGATCAATATGAGGGGCCAACAGCCTAAAATGAAAGTGTTTTCTGGTATAAAAACCCAATATATACAATATATATAATTGCTTTCTTCTCTTCCACCAACTATCAGCTACTTTGTCTTGTAGTCACTTACAGGCTGGCGCTGGGTGGACTGGTGTGAGTGCCGTGAGTAACGGAGGCGTGGTGGAGCCTGCGCAGGGAGTCAATGGAACCGTGCTAGCCAACCAGTCCAGCATGGGCACTGCAGGATACCACACACACTGATGGGGCGATGAACATCTCTAGCACTCTACTGCGGCCGCAGCAGGGATCTATAAACCACCCCCACCCCATTCTCAAACACCTGACAAGATGGCTGGCCTGGGGAGGGGGTGTGCCATTCCCCCCCCCCCCAGATCCTCCCCACCCTCCACTTGTAATTTTCCTTGAGTTTGAGACTTTGAGGCAGATCTTGCTCATCATTGCGGGGTCTCGAGTTGCCCTACACTGGGATTAAACCACACACCCTGATACACAAGCATATTCAGACACATTAACACACACCCACATAAATCCACAAGTCTTCGGCCTGGTGTCCGACTGACTTATTCGGAGAGGACTATGCCATTTTTAACTCAAAAGTACTATAAATGAATAAAATCAACAATAACTTCAATTTTTCCATTTTGCTTTTTTTTGGGGGGTTTGTTTAGAGCGATTTCAGCTGCTGATTTTGTAATATATGAAGCTTTGCCTTTTTTTTCTTTCTTTTTTTTTGGACTTGCCATTTTAAAAGCAAAATTGTTTTGAGAGGAGCGACGACACCAACGAATCGTGTGAAATGTCAACCTTTTTTTGTTTTTGTTTATAAAATGAATAAAATGGATGTCAACTGTTGTATTTTTTTAATTAGACATTCAATTTCTCAAACTAAACCAATTGCAGGGATGACTGCCACATTTTTTTCCTTGAAGGCAGATGAATATTGCACAATATTAATACGTTTTCACAAGAATTTGATGTTACGCAAATTTTAGGTATTTTAAATTGTTTTGCATTCCACTTTTTTTGAGGGCTTACAAGTACAGTATATCATTCTGTATGTAAATAACCAAACTGTGTTTAACTGTTGGGACGCTATATAAAGATAATTCAGATGTTGATTATGGATGCTTGCTTGCTTGCTTTTTTTCTGTAGGTAGGAGGGAGGGAGGATAGGTGGGTGGGGAATGGGCTTGGGCTTCATTGCAACTATTCGGCATTAGCGGCACTGTTAAATGCTGGTCCATATGGTTTAAGGATTCTTCCAGAGAACTTTTGGTGAAGACGTTGCTGACTCGCGCTGCAACGGACGTTTTGTTAGAATTGCGATTAATTCTGTATATAAAATCGAAACATTGAATTTTTTTTTTTAAATGAAATATTTAGTATCAAGACGAGAAACCTGAATGGATCAGAATTTTGCACTGTTGCCCATTGGAGTTTTAATACACGAGACCAATTGTGTTGCCTTATTTGAGTTGATTTCATTTGAAGAAACGGATGATCATTAAACATAGGCAGTGCCTACGAATAAATCGAGACCTTGTGTTTTGAGAATTTTTTTAAAAATAATGTTCATCTTACAATTATGTATTCTTGCTTTGTCCCATTAAAATGCAGATGCAAACAAACATTTCTGCCTGCCCTGTTGTCTTTGAGCTGGATTGTCTTTCAATACCATGTGCAGACTTATACCCCTATATAAGTCAACAATACTATACAATACAATTACTAGTTATGGCAAATTTATTGGTTGTGGTGGAAATTAGTTTTAATTTACTTAAATAATGATATAAATCATTACCACACAAGAAATAAAATGTGTCACTATTTTTTGTGTTTAGGTTATAGTTTTAAAAATGTAGTAATGTAAAATATGTTGCTAACACTTACAATAAGGTTCATTAGTTAACTACATTAGTTAGCATGAACCAATAATGAACTGCACTTATACAGCATTTTTTAAAAATCTTTGTTAATGTTATTTTCAACATTAACTAATACTTTATTAAAATCTTGTTAAACAATGAACACCTGTATCTTGTATTAAGTAACGTTAACAAAGATTAATAAATACAGCAACAAATGTATTGCTCATTGTTAGGTCATGTTAGTTAATACATTAACTAATGAATCTTATTGTAAAGTGTTTAATATTTTATATATAATATTTTAAAAAGTAAGAAAAACAATATCATATGAGCGCTAGTATAATTCTTTTACAAAACTACTATTATCTTAAAATGCAGAAAAAAATAAACAACGAGTCAGCGAAACGAAGAAATAATTGTATTTCCAAAATGTTAATGAGTTAAGAGTTGCTACTGGCTTCAGTTCCCAGTATGCATTTGATTGGTCACCCTATGGCCAATCGGAAAGCTCGTTACAGCCGCAGCAGAGCGTCTGTATGTAAGGAGGAATGGCGACGGTTGTTGAGTCTCTGAAGTGAAATCCTCCGTGGGATCTGACCACTGAGCGCCTGGAAAGCGCCCCTGTAGAGGTTGGCCCTTCTCCCATCATCATTTACTTCATTGCATTCATTCACTGTCACACAGCTAAGGTTAAACTCGATGTCATTTCAATGCTTTGTTAATCTATACTGTACTACTGTATAATTGCAGGAACATGTCATTGACATTTTCATGCGGTTTGTGCAAAGAATTCGTGGAAGAATTTGAAGAAACATTTTAATGAATGTTTAATGTTTTTTTTTTTTAATTTATTATTTAAATTTACTTCATGAAGTGTGTACTAAAACTACTCAAATAATTGTTTAACTAAGATCTATGATTATGGTCGATCATTTATTCAGTTTTAATCATTTAAAGCATCCTCATTCATCATATAGGCTTAAAGAGGTATATTGTCTTAGATTAGCCAAATACAGTACCACCGTGGCAATAGTATGTATATTTTTTATGTGCCATGCCAAGATTACCAACGGTTTTTTTTAACATGTAGCCTACAATGGTATTCTTTGAAGTAGCATGCACATACCATGGTATTTTAATGTTAGCCATCCAGTGTCATGACCACTTGATACTATCACTGTACCAGGAGCATTTTTATCAGTATTGTTGCACAGCACCCCCCCCCCCCCCCCCCAAAAAAACATACTGTTATGTAAATTGTTATGTGAATTGTCTTTACTTACAGTATAGAGTCATTCACAAGTTGCATGTGGATGAGGTGCTGCATCATTGCTGACAAATTATAGAAGACAAATTTTGTTTCCAGCAATAGATTGGAGGTAAACATTCACCTCATTCAGCGCTATTTTTGTTAACTGTCTTATAAAGTATCCTGTTACTTTTTAGAGGTGAGAATCCACTTCAAACGATTTAGTGTTGTGTGTGAATTGTCCGAATGAATCAACTGAATCACGAACAATGTCACAACCTTTTTGCAAACATTTACATTGAAAATGGTAATCTCCATCATCAGACAAGGATTTATCAGTAATATTTTACTGGGACAGCGATTATTTCACTGGGCTTTGTGCTCCTGTAAAAAGGGTCTAATGATTCCACTGCACTGTATCGTAGTAGCACTACAGTTCTTAAACAGTATTTTGATTAGGGCTGCCCCCTAGTTCATGAAAAATAAAATTGTTCTCTGTATCACTCTCGGTTTCAGTGTGTGTGATAACAATGGATGGTCCTCTGGTAAATTCTGGAATACCGCTGGCGACACAAACGGTGGTTTCTCCTGTCACTCAAACCTCCGGTAACTTAAGCGGGAAACTTCGGGACAAGCGGAAGACTCCTGCATTCTTATCCAATTTGGGCAAGGCTACCTTAAGAGGCATCCGCAAGTGCCCTCAGTGTGGTGTTTACAACGGGACTCGCGGTCTCAGCTGCAAGAACAAGGCCTGTGGAACAATATTCAGGGATGGGGACCATGACACGGGACGTTTGAAGAAAGGGGTGTCTGAAGTGGTTCGAGTTGTGACGGACAGCGAAGGTGGTAGAGCTGGAGGGCCGCAGGTATTCTCTGTGCGTCAGCGGGGACGTGGCTTCGAACAGCGAGGCTTTGTTGAGTTAGTCCTCACGGATACAGCCATTACTACCGCAGATGGAACCTTGCTGACCCGTGTCAACCTCGGCCGCTGTTTCATGCCCTCTTGCCAGGAAAATGAAAGCGAGTCAACAGTTGAAGGTTCCCATCAGCAAGTGTCGCAAACATCCAAAAGTCCCTGTACCCATGTGAAGCAAGCAATGGAGTGTCAGACCCAAGCAACACCTCTGCCACTCAAGAGCTCTGTGCTGGAGGCCCTGGTGGCCACTTCCCAGGCCAAGGAAGAGTTGTGGAGGTTGGCTACAGAGACACCGGGACCCTTAGTGCAGAGGGTCTCCAAAGGTACCCTAATAGTGAAGTGCCAGCCAGGTGAAGCCCACCCTCTGGGACTGCTGCATTTGACTGTAGGCTTATCTAGTGTTAAAGAGAAGACTGAGGGTGCTGCTCCCTTTCGCTGTGCATGCTACACACCCAATGCCAAGGGGGATTTAGGGGGAAGAAGTGGGAGTCACCCTAATGTCAAAGAACGAGAAAAGTCCCATGAGCACAGTTTACCTGAACATTGCCTGCACTTCTATGCCTGCGTTTGTGCCTTCACGAGTGATGAGAAGCTTGCCACTGAGTTTTCAGCTTTCCTCAACTACAACATGAATGGTAAGTCAACCATTTAGCTCAGGGGTCTCCTGCAATCCTTTCTGCAAGAGTTTAGCTTCAACCTGCTCCTACACGCTTGCCTGAAAGTTTCTGGTAATTCTTAGGGGACGTTTACACAACAACAATGTTCTAAAAACTGAAGTTTTTCTTTTGCGTTTTTTGTGTACAGATGACAACGTTGTCAAAACGATCCCTGTTCACACGTACTATATGCATGCCAGGCCAGTAGTTGGCGAGGTGACTTTGTAGATAAAAACTATATGCCTATACGCTGATTTCACGCTGCCGCCATTTTGAAATCGAAAGCGAGGCTCCGGTGGGAAGAACCCCGGAAGTACAGATAGACAACAATGCCTTGGACTACCAACCTGAAGCTGCTGCCGCGATTTACACTATTGGATGTTAACCCGTTTAATCCCACCGGTCACAATTGTGACCGCAGCTTTTTTCTTATTTCTGGAAGCTCTAAAAATGTTTTTATTGACTTTGGGCAAGAAATTCAACTTTTAAATGACAAAATAGATTGTCTTGATTAAAATCAATTAATGTCATGTGACTAGTGTGAAAGGTCACATGACCAGATCAGTTCACTTCCTGCTTGCACATCTAGAAGAAGATGTCTTCCTCAGACTACTACAAAAAGTAGTATATAAAACATCTTAATTTACATATAGAACTATCATATTTTGTACATATATTCTTTAAAGCAGTGGTCTCAAACTCGCGGCCCGCGGGCCATTTGCGGCCCGCGGGGTGATATTTTGTGGCCCCCTACTTGACAATAAAGTTTAATATTAGTGCGGCCCGTTGTTGCGTGTGCCGCGTTTTAAAAAAAATATTTTTTTTTATCCCTTACGGGCTACCATAGATAGTCTCGTGACAGCTTACGGTGGGTTTGTTGTCAATAGTTGTCATAGACAACCGCGAAGTACAAACATACTGCGCCTGGAAAAAATGAGCGCGTCGCTTCAATTATGAGTGCGCTTGCCGCGCGCCTACATTTGAAATAACGAACTTAAGCGCGCAATATATGTGAGCGCGATATGTGAACGGTCCCTTGTCGAGCTACCACCAATCAGACCACGAGCTACTGGCAACTCGCGAGCGACGTGTTGGATAGAGACCCTGCTCTAAAACAATGTGAGAATAATCATTTTGAGCTTGTAATATGTGTCCAACAGGTTGATAAGAAGGTTTGCTTTGATTTGTGCAGTCAGTAATTTGAGACACTATACATGTGTAAAAAGAATTCAATAAGACGGGCAGACATGACTGCAAGTATTTGTATTTCAAAAGCAATAATTGTTTTTCTAAGTATAATAAAAGGAAATGTGCCTTCCAAAAAAAACATTCAATATCATTAATGTGTTGTATAAAGAAAATAAAAAGGACATAAGCAAAACGAGGTATTGGATGTCTTGGAATGAATTGTGTCAATAGGTCTAATTGAAGAATTTGAATGAATTCTGACTATGTTGTTTCCCAGTATAAAACCTAACATTTCACTAACTTAACCAACATAAAATCAAAAAAGGCATAATGTTTGAGTGTTAGGGAGGTCTATAGCTAATACATTTGTGAATATTTTTGATAAAAAAGGACATAAAAGCAGATCATTCATTCAGCGCTGTGTTGTGGTTGCGCTGTGTCACGTGACAAGGAATGACGCGTCACCATGGAAACATTAAAGTGACAAGTTCTAAATAACGGTCGCCTTAAAAAACTCACGCTGGGGGGTCAGTTAAAATATTTTAAATTTACGTGTGAAAGGGTTAAAAGTGGAAGCTTGTGCGTAGCTTTGTTGCATTATATTGAAACTTTGTTGATGTTGTTATTGTCATGCATGTTCTGGTTATTAGCGCATGATTAAACATGAGTCTTTATAGGGCGATAAAACAAAGCTTTGTTGCATTTTTTTTTTAAGTGGGGATTGGGGGTGCGCCAACCCGGTTGGGACATAGAAGGGGGTGCGCAGGAAAAAAAGTTTGGGAACCGCTGGTCTAAGGAGTAAAATGCATGTACTCAAGTTGCAAGAAAAAATTTGGGATTAAACGGGTTAATATCCAATATAGGGTATGTATATAGTTCGTTCCTGCTTCTTTTTTTTACGTTCTGAATTATATATAAAAAAATGTTTTATTTATAAATTAATTTCACTGTATATAGTCTAAAGTATGAAAGAAATGTATGTACATTTTTAGAATAACTAATTTCTACATTAACACAACAATACGCCATCGCATTCGCGACTCTCCTATGATTAAAAGCGACACTTCCGGTTTTCTTCCCACCGGAGTGATTTCAAAATGGCGGCTGCGTGAAATCAGCGTATAGACTGAACACATAATGTGCATGCACGTGACGCATGAGTTAATAATGGTATCAATTTCAAAAACTTGCACTTTAAATCCCGTTTTCAAAAGTTAGCATTTTCTGGACCACGAAACGGAGTAGTCTTGTAAATGAACGGCCAAAACACAAAAAGTTTTCTGTTTTTTTTTGAAAGCAGGGTCGTGTAAACGGCCCCTAAGACCTTGGGTGCATCTCAGCTTCCTAGTACTCAGGCCACTGATCAGGGAGTCGGCCATTTCAAGAGCTGTTTCAATTGCAATATCCTTATAATGCTCTGGGACTTTCACTCCCCCAAAAAATCCCACAATGCACTTACTGGAAAATACATCACATTTTCTGAAGCACAAGCTTGCATCTAATTGCACAAGCCATCTCAATTTGGGGTCTGATCTCCCTAAAGGATGCTCGATCCCCCCTGAAGGACATCAAAATAAGATTTCGGGTGGGTCCTAGAAAGGAGCCTTGTAATGCTTATAATATGAAGCTTTACCTGAAATGAGGCATAACATTGACATTACCTGAGCAGTTGAGTTAAAGTCCCCCTGTAGTCAATCATTTTATCCCTTAAAACTTATCTTTGATCACCAAAATTACATATTTAAACGTTTTTTCCTCAAAAAAACAAACAAAAAAACTTCAGGTCTTAAAGGGATAGTTCACTTTGAAATTATTTTTTGTATGTTTTAGCTTACCTCAAGGGCATCCAAGATGTAGGTGTCTTTGTTTCCGCAGAAGTTTCAATTTTGATATTTTTAGGTCAAACCGTTCTTGTCTGTCAATCATATAATGCAGGTCTATGGTCACCACCTCAAAGAGCATGCACAGAGAAGTCCAAATTAAACATGATTTAATGACTCGTAAATGTAAGTACACATTGATGGCCTAAGACACGAAACGAGCGGTTTGTGTGAGAAAACGAACAGTATTTATATCGTTTTTACCTCTTGTAACCACAGCCACGTCCAAGTGATCTGAGGGCAAGGGCGCTTCGGTCTGCACAAGCACAGGAAAGCCCCGGAAGTGATCTCTCGCGCGTGTACGTCACTCATTGTTTACACAAAGATTTCGGAAGTGTTACCTTTCACTGTGAAGATCTAAACATATTTAGATATACAGGAAATCGCAATGGAAGACGATTTTACGAAGACGAATCTCTGTGTAAACAATGAGTGACGTACACGATCAAGAGATTACTTTCCGGCGCTTGCGCAGACCGAAGCGCCCTTGCCCTCAGATCACTTGGACGTGGCTGTGGTTACAAGAGGTAAAAACGATATAAATACTGTTCGTTTTCTCACACAAACCGCTCGTTTCGTGTCTTAGGTCATCAATGTGTACTTACATTTACGAGTCATTAAATCATGTTTAATTTGGACTTCTCTGTGCATGCTCTTTGAGGAAGTTACCATAGACCTGCATTATATGACTGACAGACAAGAACGGTTTGACCTAAAAATATAAAAATGTTTAACTACTGCGGAAACAAAGACACCTACATCTTGGATGCCCTTGAGGTAAGCTAAAACATACCAAAAAATAATTTCAAAGTGAACTATCCCTTTAAAATAGCTTGAATGTAACAATTCCCCGCCTCCACTCACTCACACCAGCTCAGAGATCCACTCGTTGACGTGAAGTGATTGGTTACAAGGTAGTTTGTGACATCAGAAACACCAGCGATTTCAAACCGTGTTTTTGAGACTGTCTTTGGTTTACTGCAGTATTAAGGTGAAAATACTCAGCAATGGTGTTGACTTATGAATTTGCTCATGTTTTGTCTTAAAGCATATTAAAAACACCACATAGACATATAAACAACATTAAAACCTTGATTTTCACCACAGGGGGACTTTAAATATGCTAGAATACCCCGCTCTTACTTAATGATTTTTAACTGAATATACGAAACAAACTGTTTGCTGAAATATTCCCATTAACAACAACAACAAAATAAGAACGCTCGGTTTATGCGTCAATCAGATGCGCATGAAAATTGCATTCGTTTCTATAGGCACATATTATTTCAGAATCCTCATTGGTCCAATTCATTTTTATTAAATAAAATAAAGTTATGTTATCATTAAGAACTAACATGATCTAACTATTGACAAGAGCATATTCATAAAACACTAATGGTGGACAAATATGTAAGAAGTTTTTCATTACTTCATGATACCTGAATTAGAACACCATTTGCACATGTAACATGCATTACAATATAGGCCTACATATTTTGTTGTAAAGCGTTATACAACACCTCTGACCCCCTGAAATTCCCTGATGTCACCTGAAACGGAGCCATCAGTGTCCCAGTGTGTATTGAGCCAGGATATAACCTAATTCGAGTACACAATATACTGATTCATGACCTAGGAAGCTGATTGACACGCACCCTTTGATTCAGGTGTGTTTGAGTAGGATTTGAGCTCAACTCTGCTGGATGGATGGTGGCCCTCCAGGAGCAGGATTGAATACCCCTGATTTAGGTTGTCTGCATCTCCATCCACATAAGCTCTATTCTGAAAAACATAGTGCAGTGGTTCTTAATTCTGGTCCTGGCGACCCACCCACCACATGTCTAATCATTAGATCATCAATAGTGATGTGACGTTCGGCTTCGAAGCTTGTATATATATATATATATATATATATATATATATATATAAAAACGAAACGTCTCACAGTGAAGCGCTGTACTGGGAACCCCTTGTACAGGTTTTGAGAGTCATTCACTTTGATAAGAATAAATCATAATACGAATATTTACATGTGTAGTTTTGTGCATGTTCAATTTATATTAATCCCCAGTTCACAAGCTCATTTATTCATACAGTTCCATGACATGTGAAAGACATTTATTTATATAGACTACATACTTTTATTGACTTATTGCCATATACATATGGTTTTTGTAGCACAAACTGATTTTTTTTATATGAAACAATCAAAAAATGGCTTCTGGGACGTAAAGGCAGCTTTTCTACCTTTTGACCACAAGATGTCGTTAATGTGCTCCGTGTTCCAAAGCTTTGAGTAATGAACCATTCGAGGGCCAGAGTTGCCCACCGCTGCTCTGTGGCAGTGTTAGCCAACACTTCTCTGGTCTAGCACACCTAAACCAGCTAATCGATGATTACTTGGAAAAACATTCAAGTGTGTTGTAGCAGGCTTGAAACTGAAGTCTGCAGGAAGGTAGTCTTCCAGGGTTGGCTATCCCTGCTGGTTGCATCCTAACCCAGGTTCCAAAAGTGACAGATTTGGAAAAGCTCCATATAGGAAGTCAAGTCCCCTTTATTTCTATAGCGCTTTTTACAATACAGATTGTTTCAAAGCAGCTTTACAGTGATAACAGGAAATGAATGCAACAAAGTTTGTTTCGGCTTTACTGCAGATCTAGAAGAAAAAAAGTGTCATAGTCCATCTTAAGTAAGTTCAGTGATGGAAGCAACTTGTACAGCTCCAAAATAGTGCTCCTTATGTGTGAAGTGCACAGGAGACTTGACTGAATTGTTTCCGATAGATTTGGATGTTACCACAATGCTCTGCTATCTAATAATGTATACACAAATATATAGTAGACGAATAACTGGTCAGAATTTACATTTTAAAAGACTTGAACTTTTTATTGAAACTACTTGGTACTGAATTAAGCATATTAATATATTGAAAATTTCCTCTTGATACATTTTTTAGATTATTTTTTTGCACAGAGTTTATCACAGTCAATTCTGGAATTGCCTTCTCCATTAAGGATACATGCAATGCTTCTTTACGTGTTGGCAAGAATTAGCTATCTTAGAAGAGAGTTTCTATTCCTATTCCTGCAAGCATTTGTGTGTAGTTAGGTTTGGTACAGGTTTGATATGGTGCCTGGAGTGTTTTTCTATGCATCAGAGATGACTGTCATCTGTTATTATTGTGTATGTCCAGGACTGCAGGACAGTTCAGATGCCACAGCATTAGGTATATCTCAGCAACACATTGAGCCCTCCATCTCTCATCGTTCCAAGAGACTCAAATTTATGGAGTCGTCTATGGGTAAGTTTCTCTGACCAGCCATCCTCCACAGATTGTCTTGGGCCCACTGTTGCCAACTAATTTCAGTGGAAAGTAGCTAAAGTCTGCTTGAAAATGGCTAAATTAATCAATTTGATTTATATATAGCACACTTAAAACAACCAAAGTTGACCAAGGTGCTTCACAGGTTAAATGCAACAACAGGACACTACTCACACAATAAAAGTACAACAATAAAAGAATAATAAAACATGTATAATACACATAAATGTATTTGGATGATTAGCATGTTAAAGGATTAGTTCACTTCAGAATTAAATTTCTTGATAATTTACTCACCCTCACGTCATCCAAGATATTCATGTCTTTCTTTTTTCAGTCGAAAAGAAATGAAGGTTTTTGAGGAAAATTTCAGGATTTTCTCCATATAGTGGACTTCAATGGGTTGAAGGTCTAAATTGCAGTTTCAATTTAGCTTCAAAGCGCTCTACACGATCCCAGCCGAGGAATAAGGGTCTTAGGCGGAAGTACCGACCTAGTGTTTACAAAGCGAACGGGCAAAGATTAAATCAAACGACCTTTTTTTTAACCCTACATTTGTTACCTTTCCAACGTGATTACGTAATGTGTGAAGTCGTGGACATGCAATACGAGCATTTGTGGTTAAAAAGTTTAGTAATATTATATATCGTATACATCGTTTCACTAGATAAGACCCTTATTCCTCGACTGGGATCGTGTAGAGCCCTTTGAATCCACATTGAAACTGCAACATCAACCTGTTGGTTCCCGTTGAAGTCCAATATATGGAAAAAAATCCTGAAATGTTTTCCTCAAAAACCTTAATTTCTTTTCGACTGAAGAAAGAAAGATATGAACATCTTGGATGTTCTATTTTTCTGTTTCTGACAAGAATTGAGTATGAAATCCTTAGTTTGATCTGATAAAATCACCACAGACATAAGTTAAAGACAATGGCTGTGCTATGATTTTGGTTATATTTACGTATAAAATTATTGCTCCTAGAGAAGGTTAGAAATTACAAAATGTTTCTTTCTTATTTTTTCTCACGCACAGTGGATAATCACCATCTGAGTAACAAACCACAAGAAGGATATTCTGTTTTCAGTCAGTGATGATTAAGCCAAATATTTTCTATGGAAAATAGCTATGGTTTGTCCAAAAAGTCGCTTGTTATGTTGCTAGGTGCTTTTCCAACTGGAATGGAAAAATGTGACATACTTGCAGCAACTACTTACATTTACATAGAATTCACCAGAATGTTTGATAAACAGACACATAAGGAAGCAGGGAATTTTGTGAATGATGGAAATTATAATTTTGAGGAAATCTTAGCTTTCTGTTGATGCAAATTCTGTGTGGGGCTCAAAATGAATTCTTCCTCTTCTTCTCCACCCACTGAAATCTGTTGTTGATGTCTACATGCTGCTGTTATGTTCTGTGGTTACTGACCACCTCCTCTCGAATCTGCATTCCTCTTTTATTCTTTGGCTTTCTGGACCTGTCCCTGTTTCACACAGCTTCCTCTGTTTCTCCTCTGGCTGTCAAAGACACTTCTGCTCCCACCCTAAACCAGCGCAAGCCCACTCACAGAAAACACTCCAGTTCTACTGGAATTAAGAACCCAGGTGCTCCAAATATTTCAAAGATTTTGCTTTTCTTTGTTTCTGTTTCCTTTCTAGCACTCTGGCTGTCATTGTTCTTTAGCATTGTTACAGATGTTTAGATATTTATAATCACATTACCCCTTTAAGTTTGAAAATATAAATGATGTACACATGTTTTTTTATTATCATAAGTTGTAGTTTTTGATGTGTGTAATGTCGTCGGGTGAATTAAACAGGAAGCAGCCAGCCGGTGGATGAGACGCATGTGTCATTGGGTTTCCAGCAGTGGTTAGCCAGTGTTACAGAGAGGATCCATCAGACGATGCACTTCCAGTTTGATGGTAAGAAAACATTAGGGTGACCCTCACAAAGCCTGTTAAAAACCTGTTATGTCTGTTAGGTCATATTTCACTTCAAGATAAAAAAAAAAAGAAGATAATTTGCTTTTCCTCATTTTGTAGAGTAAACAAAACAAAAAAAGTTTTGTCGAAAAGGTGCATTTCCATCTTGCTCCAACCAAAGTGATTTGAACACCCGTGACGTCGTAATTATGGACATTCCAGGAGACCTTGAATGCAGCATATATTAGGACAATTAAGATTTCTCCTATATTTGCAGTTTTTCAATATTTGACAACATTTTTATGACAATTAAGCACAATAATGAGAATCATCCTACAGTGATTTTTTTTAATGAAAAGGGCAGAACAACAAATACTACTATGATTTATTAAATAAGTCATACAAGAATACACTTTAAAAAAAAACTGAAATTAGTGTAAAAATAAAATATTAAAAATAAAATAAAAAGTACAATAAATGGTACAAATCTAAATGGTAATAAAATATTCAAATTATATACATATATTTATATATATATAATGTTTTTTTTTTCTTATGTCAATATGTTGTATACTTATGTTTTATATATATATAAATATATATATAAATATACAGCCCTAATATATATATATATATATATATATATATATACACTCACCGGCCACTTTATTAGGTACACCTGTCCAACTGCTCGTTAACACTTAATTTCTAAGCAGCCAATCACATGGCGGCAACTCAGTGCATTTAGGCATGTAGACATGGTCAAGACAATCTCCTGCAGTTCAAACCGAGCATCAGTATGGGGAAGAAAGTTGATTTGAGTGACTTTGAACGTGGCATGATTGTTGGTGCCAGAAGGGCTGGTCTGAGTATTTCAGAAACTGCTAATCTACTGGGATTTTCACGCACAACCATCTCTAGGGTTTACAGAGAATGGTCCGAAAAAGAAAAAACATCCAGTGAGCGGCAGTTCTGTGGGCGGAAATGCCTTGTTGATGCCAGAGGTCAGAGGAGAATGGCCAGACTGGTTCGAGCTGATAGAAGGGCAACAGTGACTGAAATAACCACTCGTTACAACCGAGGTATGCAGCAAAGCATTTGTGAAGCCACAACACGCACAACCTTGAGGCGGATGGGCTACAACAGCAGAAGACTCCACCGGGTACCACTCATCTCCACTACAAATAGGAAAAAGAGGCTACAATTTGCAAGAGCTCACCAAAATTGAACAGTTGAAGACTGGAAAAATGTTGCCTGGTCTGATGAGTCTCGATTTCTGTTGAGACATTCAGATGTTAGAGACAGAATTTGGCGTAAACAGAATGAGAACATGGAACCATCATGCCTTGTTACCACTGTGCAGGCTGGTGGTGGTGGTGTAATGGTGTGGGGGATGTTTTCCTGGCACACTTTAGGCCCCTTAGTGCCAATTGGGCATCGTTTAAATGCCACGGCCTACCTGAGCATTGTTTCTGACCATGTCCATCCCTATATGGCCACCATGTACCCATCCTCTGATGGCTACTTCCACCATGTCACAAAGCTCTAATCATTTCAAATTGGTTTCTTGAACATGACAATGAGTTCACTGTACTAAAATGGCCTCCACAGTCACCAGATCTCAACCCAATAGAGCATCTTTGGGATGTGGTGGAACGGGAGATTCGCATCATGGATGTGCAGCCGACAAATCTGTCAACTGTGTGATGCCATCATGTCAATATAGACCAAACTCCCTGAGGAATGCTTCCAGCACCTTGTTGAATCTATGCCACGAAGAATTGAGGCAGTTCTGAAGGCAAAAGGGGGTCCAACCCGTTACTAGCATGGGGTACCTAATAAAGTGGCCGGTGAGTGTATATTAGGGCTGTCAAATGATTAATCGTGATTAATCACATCCAAAATAAAAGTTTTTTTACATAATATATGTGGGTGCACTGTGTATAATTATTATATATATATATATATATATATATATATATATATATATATATATATATATATATATATATATATATATATATATATATATATATATATAAATACACACACATGCTTGTATATATTTAAGAAATATTTTCATGTATATACTGTATATAGATTTATATATAATTTATATTATATATAAATATAAATATTTTATATATAAATAATATTTTTTTCTTAAATATACCTGCATGTGTGTGTATTTATATATATACAAAATAATTATACACAGTGCACCCACATATATTATGTAAAAAAAAAACTTTTATTTTGGATGTGATTAATCGTGATTAATCATTTGACAGCCCTAATATATATATATATATATAAACACTCACCGGCCGCATCATTAGGTGCACCTGTTCAATTGCTCCTTTTCACAAATATCTAATCATCCAATCACATGGCAGCAAATCAATGCATTTAGGCATGTAGACATGGTCAAGACGATCTGCTGAGGTTCAAACTGAGCATCAGAATGGGGAAGAAAGGTGATTTTAAGTGACTTAAGAGATGGGCTGGTCTGAGTATTTCAGAAACTGCTGATCTACTGGGATTTTCACATACAACTATCTCTAGGGTTTACAGAGAATGGTCCAAAAAGGAGAAAATATCCAATGAGTGGCAGTTCTATGCCACAAAGAATTAAGGCAGTTCTGAAGGCAAAATGGGGTCCAACCCTGTACTAGCAGGGTGTACCTTATAAGGGGTATGGGCAGTGAGTGTATTATTCTGTTAATCTTTGGATAAATTATGACCAGGCATGTTCTTGAAAGGCCTGAGTGTTTCCCAGTTTTCAAGTATTTCTACCTTTTGTATCAGATTTTCAGATTAGAATGTTGAGTTAACACTGAAGTTGAAGTTTGATGTGAACAGGCAAGCCAGATCCGTTGGTGTTCCACATCCCTCAGTCTTTCTTCAATGCCCTACAGCAGCGTTTATCATTGGGCTCAAAAAAGAGAAGACTCCCCAACTACACCACCAGTGAGTATAATATGTGTAGCCATTGATCATGTGCTAACAATCTAATTCTAATTATAAATCTTGTTATACCTTGTTTTAATATTTTGTCATTTCTGTGTTTTTAGCATTTGTGCGTGATGACGCTTTGCCTCTGGGCTCTTTCTCTAAATACACCTGGCACATTACCAACCTGATGCAGGTGAAACGAATCTTTGATACACCAGAGGTGTGTAACCGTTTTCAGATCCTCACTAATGGCCATAGCATCTGTGGGCAGTCTCTAAATGAGGGCACTCTGTTTGAACAGTTACCTCTGGAACTCACTCAGAGTTTTGTGAAGAACAGTGACGGCTCCTATTCACTGTATCGCTGCCGGGAGACCCATCCTGATTCTGGATCAGACACCAGCCACCATTCACGCACCAATAAGCCTCTGGCCATCAGACCACTGGAGCTACGCACCTTCCTCAGAGTGGGTAAGTGGATGTTCAATTAGGGGCTGTTTACATGACACTGTTTTCAACAAAAAACCGAAAACCTTTTCTGGATTTTGATAGTGCAGTTTTGGGGGCCTGAAAACAAACTTTAGAAAATTTCAAAGTGCTTGTTTTTGAAAACTAAACCATATCGTCTCCGTGTAAACTACAAAATTGGGGCCGGCCGTCGCCCTCTTGGCAGCGCGTCACGCATCATTCCCTGATAACCGAAAATGGTCAAAGAGGCGGGATTAGCTGAGGTGACGTGACAGACAGCAGACAAACGGCTGGTAGTGACAGCAGTGGCAATCCACCTGTCACTCAAGTGGCCACACCCTTAATTATGCAGAACTTTAAAGCTTAATATAATTTAAACGGATGATATAAAAAAAAATCATGCCCCTCACAGTTGTCATGAAGGGCAAAATTAACTATATATAGACCAAAACCACTTTTTGTACTGGCCTGTAAACATATTTTTTTCGGCTGTAAAGTTGGGATTGACTCTCTTTTGGAGCCCGTCTCTAGCGGCCAGTCGATGAATTGCAGTTTAAGTCATTTCCGTGTTTCAAGAGAGATCGGAAGGTTGCCGCTTGGTTTAACGTGTTCAGTCTATAGGCATGTGGTGTTTCTTTACAAAGTGACGTCGTTACAAAGTTACTGGCCTGGCAGCATAATACAGCTTTTTTTAGTCCTTTTCATAGATCCATGTGAACGGGGGACGTTTGGACAATTTGTATAGAATCGGATTTATGGGTTCTGAGATTTTCAAATCTCATTCCCCTTTCAATTACCATCCCCAATGGACCCCAAAGTGATTCCACTGGTTGAAAGAACTTTCTAGAGCGTTCTTTTTGATTCCTGATCAAACATTCTACAATATTGCTTGTTGTTGACATGAAAGTGCATCATATGCCTTATTAATTATATATCACATGACATGACCAAAGCAACAAATGGTCAAACCATGTTAATTTTACAATTTAAATTTTTTTTTCCAGAACTCCTAGATTAGCAATGTTTTTGATCTGCGTGTTAGATATCATAATACCCAATTTTCTCTTAAAATTTGAGATTGATATTCAGTTTTCAAAGAGGAAATGTTTTCGGTGCCACAACAGAAAGATTCTACATTATATTCAATACAGTATCCAGATATATTATAAACACGCTTTCTGGAATACTTGATTCTGTGGAAGCCCATTTCAGCCACATAAGAAAAAAATCATGCTTTGGTGAATCATAATTATGACATGTTGAAACTATGACAAGTCAAAATAATAAGATAATTATAATTAATAATAACTACAATGTCAGACTCATAATTATGATTTTGTATCTCATAATTTAATCTTTCTGTCATAATTGTCTCAATTTTGATTATGACTTAGTATTTCACAATTTTGACTAGCTCATAATTATTACTTAATTTCTAAGAATTTAGAGATTTGTTTTCTCAAAAATAAGACTTATGATTTTGACTTTTTATGTCATGATGACTTTTTTATGATGGGTTAGCATAACACTGGCAAGAAATAAGACATGACCATTTAATCCGAGTAAGGCACTTGGAGGTGTTACTACCAGGGGATAATTCGGCCCGGCTCCAGCTTTAAGATATGAGGTGGGCCAAGTGAAATTCCTGGTGGGCCCGAAGTTTTAACATTATTTAATCTTTTCCCCCGTAACAGAGGCAGGTCTTCAATGGGGCTCTATATATACAGGGCTCAACGCTAAGGAGTTGTCTACTGTTGTTGTATTGCTGTGTTGTTTTTTATGACTATCACTCAACTGTACAGTATCCGAAAGTAGGGTGTTTTGAAAGTGCCGACTCTGAACATCACACCAATTTTAAAATTGGCCGTTATTTGGCGTGGGGCCAGGGTGGGCCAAGCTCCTGACAGGAGCCGGGCCTGGGGGTAGCTAACACTCCAAGTATTCTGGTTTACTGTATAACTAAAACGCTGTGGTATCATCTCTCAGGGACCTGTGCTGCTGAGCAGACGGAGCCAGTGCCCTTTGTGATCGAATGGATTCCAGACATCCTTCCGCACTCACAGGTGGGAGAACTGAGGATCAAGTTTGAGTATGGCCATCAGCTGGGTAGTAAACCAGAGCACTGCAAGAGCTCTGCTGGGACAGAGAGGATTGAACAAACAGTAGCAGATGCCATCCCACAACAGTGAAGAACCACTGTAGAAGACTCGAGACCCTCGGTCATGAAATTCTCAACTTATAAGGTGCTTCTCAGAAAAATGTTCATTGTCAGAAACTGTTAAAGGTTGCATTACAGCACCGGGCATACAGATGTAAATTAATTATATAAGTGTACAACTAAAATAATCTTGTCAACATATGTTTTGTGCCGTACAATATTAACTCATGTTCAAGATTTCCACATTTCTTAAAGCTGCAGTCCGTAGCTTTTTTTGGGTTAAAAATTATCCAAAATACATATTTGAAAAAATAACCAGCCAGTGTTCAAAACTATCTGCTTGCCTTAGCTCGATTCAAAGCTGTAAGCTTATAATAATAAGCTTATAATAATGTTTTTAATTCCAGTGGTACTGGTGGATTTCCGCGGGAGATTCGAGCATGTCTTTGCGTCATTACGTCACATCTGTACACATAAAGAAGGAGTCTCGGCTAGTAGGCTATATTGAGTGTGAGGATGTTGGAGGTGGAGATTTGTAGCCTTTTCTCACTGCACTTGATATAATTAAACGTATCAATTTGATGGCGGATCCAGAAAGGTTCAAACGACAATCACCAGTGACAATTAGAGATTCACCCGCTGTAAAATGCAAAAGACTTCGTTCGGACTTCGGAGTGGCTACAGAAAAAAAGAGACTGTAACCGGACCATTGCGAAAACAAGGATACATATCTGAAGGACATTACATGTAGTCACGCAATGCTGACGTTGTTAACATAAACAATTTGAAAACAAAGTATAATTTGCACGGGTTTGCGTGATATGATAAACGATTTTTAGATTTAATCAGCGCGATTTACTGCAATGTCAGAACCAGAACAAAAGTGGATGTTACTTGTTCAGATGACATTTTCCGGTGAAAATTATTAGGTTGGTCATACTTGCAAAAAGAATAATCTGTGATTCTGAATGACAGTATCCACACCGGCGCGGTGATTGACAGCTGCACACTCTCCTCAAACATTGTGTTCATCCGTGCTGTGCCGTGTCGGAGTACAACTCACGTACTCAAGTTGATAATTCCGCGAATGACTGCAATTGCAGATTTCGAACAGAGATGGCGACAAAGTGGAAAAACTGCGGACTGCAGCTTTAATAATGGATTTTTAGCACAACCTTTTTACAATCACACTCTTCATACTGTAGAAATCGTGTGGTTTAGATGGACTGTACTAATGACAAGTGAAAAGTTCCTGTTTTCAGAAATCATGTAGATTTGATACCTTTTAGTATTTATATGAAAATAATAGAGAAACAGAATTATTGAGACCATGCTGTATTCAGACTGATGCACAAAATCAATGTAAATATATTAAAAGCCTTCTACTGTTAAAGGTTTTTCTGGTAATACATTATAATGCATTAACAAAAAAAATGTAGACACTTGATAATGTTAATGCATTAAGTCTTAATTGTCTAGACACTTAATATAGATACACCTCACAAAAGACTTATATCAGATAGCACAGAATGACTATTATAACCATTTGCCAAAGATGGAAAAATAAAATATTTAAAGACTATTACAGTACTGGTACATTCACAGTGAATTCCAACATCTGACCTATCTGAATTTATGCCTGGGAATCTGTTTACTCCCTAAATTAATTAGTTTTATTTATTTACAGTTGTAATCAAAAGTATTCAACCCCCATTGCAAATCAGGTTCATTGGCAAAATGTACAGACTTTCAGCTGTTTGCAATGAAGAAATCAAACAAAAGTAATTAAAATAGCTCAACACGTTTCAAGTGGTTTCCCCAAATTCAACTAAAAAAATGCAATTTTAATGACTTCTGCAGTCTCAAAATTATTCAACCCCTTCATGGCAAGAATCTTTAGTACTTAGTAGAACACCCTTTTGCTGTTATGAACTGCTGCAAACAAGATGTATAACCATCTTCTGGCAGCGTTTCTGAGGAATCTTTAGCCACTTTCTCATGTCATGCGCAATGGCCACCAGTTCAGTAATATTCTTGGGTTTGTGTGCTGCAACCGCCGCCTTTTTTTAAAATTTATTTAACCAGATGATCTCATTGAGATTTAAAAGCTCTTTTTCAAGAGAGACCTGGCCAAAATGGCAGCATATTAACAGTGCACCGTTACAAATACGAACACCAAGCACACGCACAACAAGGAACATTTAAACAAATCTTAATGCATTATGGTAGACAGTATCCAACAAAGACAAACATCGTTCAGGCGCATTTCTATAGAGCAAATCACCGTAATCGAGTGCAGTGAGAAAGGTTGCAGCAACCAATCTCCTCCTGGTTTTCCAAGAAAACAGGCTTTGATACAAAAGAGGCTTTGATACAAAACAGGCTTTGATTTTATTTTAGAAACAGTTTATCAATGTGCAACTTAAAAGAGAGCTGATCATCGATTAATATACCCAAATATTTTTACAATTTGACTTGTTCGATCTGCTCACAATGTATAGTAAATATACTTGGAAGACTGTCCAAAGACTTCTTAGATTTTGAAAAAAGCATAATCTTAGTTTTCTCAACATTCAAAACTAGTTTAAGCTGATACAGTTGTACCTGAACAAGGTTAAAGCAGCACTCAGTAAGAATTCCGTTTTTGTCAAACAACGACCCCTAGAGTCGCTGTGGAGCACTTGTACTGTCGTGAATAGCACTCACGCAGAGATGGCTCGCACTCAGGGCCGGATCCCCTCCCCCTGTACACCGGCGGTACCTGTTCAGTAGGATGGACGCTGTAACGAGTGGAAATATGGTATGGCCCCTTTAAGAGCTGCGCGCGCCCAACACCCGGCGCCGGGTTATTTCTGTTTGATGCTCATTTTATCAGAATTTTATCAGATCTGTTTTTTTGCCGTAAAGCAATTCGTTACCTCGCGAGACCTGATATCACACGATACTTCCTAACACTCAGGCTGGCGGCTCGCCGGCCCAAAGTTGCAAGGGTGGTTTTGCGGCTCACAGGCACCAGGGGGGTGCGAAACAACCACCATTCAACACGAAATCAGTAATATAAACTTTACAATGACTCCAAAGCTGTTCGGTTAAGGTAAAAAAGTTACTTAGTTCACCTTTAAAAGAAGATTGTAAATAAGAAAAAGCAGTAGAAAAAACAAAACAAAAAACAAAAAAGTAGCAGCCTTACAATAAATAACGGTATCGTCAGCATAAAAATGGAAATGAGCCTGTGAAATGTTATTAATATAGATAGTAAATAAAATTGGACCCAAGACTGATACTTGCGGTACACCACAAGATGTGTTTATTTTGACAATTTCAAATCAGCAACTCTGAGTTCTATCTGCCAAATAGTTGGTAAACCAATCAACAGTATGGTCAGCAAAACCAATACGTAGCTTTTCCAGTAAAATGCAATGGTCCACTCAGACCCGGCGCCAGACACAAATTCACGGACGGGCATACATTTTTTTCAGGGGGGCACAAATGAGATAAACCTAATTTCCTAATTGCTTAATATTAAAGGATATGATCGTTAATGAATTGAATATGTATGATACAAATGATAATGATCGATAGTAGCCTAGATAATGTACTGACGCTAACAATCTGTGCTGTTTAGGCTCGCGCAGCCTCTCGATTAAACAAATAGGCCTAACTGCAGCTCACACAAACAAACTCAGTTAGCAGAACACTGCGGTTAAATTTTTTTTAATGTGCAAGTTAGTTTTTATAACGTTATTTATAACATGAAGCAACACCACGACCAAGTGCTGAATATCATCACGATTGAAAATGTAACACTGATTTCGACAGTTCAATAAGTAATTCATATTAGCCTAAGTCACTTACATTTTAGATGCAATATTGACTTTGTTCTATTTTAGCAGTGAAAATAATTCCAATCCAAACAAAGATCCCAGCAGAAACAGAACGCATCTCAGTCAACCGTGTTTTCATTACTAAATGATTCAGTGTTTTAAACGAATCGGTTGAGTCAAAGATTCAATGACCCATTCATGAACGACTACTTTTTTCTTGATGAATCAGCTGTTTGAACGAATCGTTTGAACAAATGACTCAATGACTCGCTTAATTACACCGCTTATCACTTACCGCCATCTACTGGCGGTTTAGTTTCATGTTTAAAAGTGTCATTCTTTTCAACTTTTCTTATTTGTATATTTTTTAAAAAGATGTAAAACAATCTCATAACATTATTTAGTGTATATTATTTAGTGTAAATGATTTAATTTGATTGGTAACAGTCCTGTAGTGTCTTATTCTAATTTAATTTATTGATCAAATAAAGAATTTAAAATGAAAGAGGAATCATTAAGATATATACATATATTTAATAAAATTAGGGGAAATGTCCTTTATAAAAGTAAAAATATCACAAATATGCAGATTTAAATATGTCAAAGCTGATTGAACTCTGATGTGAATAGGCCTACTGATTTATAATAAATTATATTCAACACAATTGTCACAATGTCAAGCCCTGACACGTTTTATTTATTTATGAATTCATTGTTCATTAGTCAATTATCTTTTATCTTTCTATTCTATTCTATTCTATTCTATTCTATTCTATTCTATTCTATTCTATTCTATTCTATTCTAACATTTAGATTTGATGGCCGAGTGCGGGCACTGGCGGTTGCTGGAGAATCAAACGATTCGTGGGACTCCCTATCTAAATAAAACATCCAAAAACAAATAAATTGTTATTCATCTATTGCACAAAAGCAATAAGAACAACTAAACAAAATAACGATTTACAGTCGCAATTAGGTAGAGTTTCTATTTATAACGTGTTTTTGCAGCGTTGTGCAATGTAGCCAATCACAGACATATGTGTTGATTTCTAAATTGCAATGGCCAATCAGATGCGTTTCAGATAAAATCCACTCACCGCTCAAAACTTTGGAGTTTTTGTTCAGTGATGAATTCTGCATGCTGGCAAATCCTTTGATTATACCAAACAAAGTGTTGACATTATGAAAGATTCATTGTGCAGTCAGCTTCATTAATAATAAAAGAGCTTTGTGAGATCGCGATGATCGAGATGTGGGACGTGACGTAGAGTTGATGAAGGTAGACAGGCTCGTCCAGGGCGGGCACTAGTGACTCACAGGGCGGGCCAGGCCCCCCAATGCCCCCCCATGGTGCCGGGTCTGGGTCCACTGTATCAAATGCTTTAGCTAAA